CTTCACTCGCTTTTTTTTTTTTTTTTTTTTTCGTTTGAAGGTTTTTGACATTGGGGCGCTGTGCTCAGAAAGACAGGGTGAGAGGCAGAGTGAGAAATCACCCCCACGGAGAGATGACCACAGGGCAATCCCTTCTCCATTCTTCTCCTGGGATATTGAGCACCCATGCACACATCTGGACTGGAGCCCAGTCAGCCATGTGAGAGTCCAGCGCCTTAGCACCAAGCCACCTGCTGCTCCCCCCACCCCCTCCCTGGCTTTAACAGGTCTTTTTTGACTGAACCACTGATCATTTACAAGCTTTTCATGAAGCAATTGGGAGGTGGAAACTTTTTTAGCCATTGGGCTTACACTATCATGGGACAACTGAGCTGATTTTTTGTCGTTTTTAACTATTAAGTGTTTAATAGCTTTATGAGGAAATAAACGAGTGCATTTTTAAAAAGAATTATTTTATTTAACTGTATTTATTTACTTTAATTTGACTAGAGAGGGATAGAGCAAGAGAGAGAGAGTGGGAAAGTGAGAAAGCAAGCCACCAGGTCCTGGACTCGAACCGCAGTTGGCCATGTGGGAGTCCAGCGACCTTAACCACCACACCACCTGCCGGCCCCACATTACCATGTCCTGGTGCTTCATGTCAGTTCCCAACTTCTGTAGAGTGTTTATCTGTGCAGGAAAGCAAAACAGGAAAAATCAGAAAGGAAAACAGCAACATAAAAATCCTAGTTTGGAAAGAGAATGTGGCTACCTTTAAATGCTCTCTGGGAGGGGAACTTGTTTCTTGTGGAGGACCGGGGGTTTATGGCGGTTACCTGCCTGCCCGCCTCCTCACCGGCCTACCTCAGTCTGTAGTGGAAATGCCGCCATGTCTTTTCCTGACTCCAGAGCAAGCATGGAGGGAAGCATAGCTTTACTGACCTGAAACTGGTTTATGAACGGACTGGAGTTTATTTGGTATATGTTAAAGGCAAGAGTTTTCTTGCTTTTTTCTTTTTCCACTTTCCTCTTCACCCGTGATCCTGCATTAATAAAACTTTCGGCAGCTTCTTCATCTGAGAGACCGAGGCAACCACGTGTGAGTGTATCGGACTTCCCGCACTGGCCCGCCACCGTCTGCTCACCAGCAGCTCTCGCTGGTCTTGCCTGCCTGACTTTGGCTTTCATGATGACCTGAAGGTTTTTCTACCACGTTTCTAAGACTGCGCTTACTTCCTTCCTCAGCCACATGGTTATTGCTCAACGCTCGGTCTAATCGGAAGGTTGTCCTTCAGAGATGGTTGAGAAACTGCCGATTGCAGCGTTCGAGACCTGCTATCTACAATGATCACGATGAAGTGGGATAAGGGCAGGCGTTAAACATGCACAGCTTGTTGTGGGAGTAAAGAGAGAAGGCACCTGACCTGCCTGGGGACTTGGAGAAGGCTTAGGAGAGTAGGCAGCACCACAGCTGTGCTCTGGAGGAGTGTGTGGGAGACAGAGGAGGGGAAGATTGTTCTACATCCCCATGGAAGAAGCCACACCCGGAGTGCAGCCATAGGTCCTCCGGGGGAAAGATCAACTGGCCCCGAATGGAACTGAAGAAGCTGTTCAAGTGCAGGCGGGGGTTGAACTGAGAGTGTTGACTGGGCCCCCGGAGGT